GATTACTTTGATCTGATTTACCATCATATAGTTGGAAATTCAAGTTTTGTTTGGATACAGAAAGTGTTCTGTACTGGGGGAGAAAGTGAAATTTTGTACTGTGCAGTGGATCAGAAACATTTGGACCTTAAAGACTCAGAGAAGAGATCAATTGAAATTCAATCTGAGCACTTGCCCCTTCTCTCAGGACCATAATATCTGCTGATGACCAAATAACTAGGAGCTACAATAACCTGCATGCCTAAATTGGAATTAAAAACTGATGTGTAGAATTAGGTAGAGACTGAACTACAACTGACTGTTAAGAGATTTCCACAGATTAACAGGGAGACAAACCAATTGCCTCCTCACCAATGCAATGTAGCAGTAGAGGAGGCCCCCGACTTGCGACTGCCTGAGTTCCAACCCCCCTCACTTACAAAAATGGTTGTAAGTGCAGAAGGGGACGAAAACTCCTGACTTAAGTCCTCAGCCTGCATTTACAATGGAGGATGGCGCCTATCGTAAATGAGGGTTGGAGTTACAATGCCCCCAACTTGCAATGCTTCCCCGGGAGCCAATTGCGTCGCAAGTCAGGGGCCTCCTGTACTCTTCCTCTTCTGCTCACTCCACCAACTGAGGACACGTCCCTGCTGGCATTCCTCCACACCCTGGTTTTTGCCATTTCTGGATGAACTCTGGGCTACCCACTATTCTCTTTAAGCTCTGTACTTGACTACACATAATTACAGTGTTTTCCCCTCTTCAAGTCCCTCTTCTCTTTCTATGTGTTGCTGCTTGTCTGCACCATCCCTTGTGTTACACCCTTTTTTATTGTACCATTCTACCTTGGGTTGTAACCTCCTTAGGGCAGGACACATCTTACTATGTTCAAAAAACATCACCCATATCTGTGATACTGCATGAGTAAAATAATAGCTGGAACTGAGTAAGAGAGAGAGTAGGGAATTGAAACCATGTCCTCGGGGTTCCTGACTAGCCCTTTAATTACTGGACACTCCTTTTTTAGTCTTTGTATTTTGAATTTCCTGGTTAGTGTTGTTGACAGGAACATTTTGCTGACATCATGAATTTTAAGCTAATATTGCATAATTTTAGTGGTAAGCAAGGTTATAATTGTAAGCATTGTAATTGTAAATCTAATTCTAAAAGTAATTCAACCAGTATATGAACAGAAGCATGATGTGTTCTCTACAGTCAGACTGTATTTAGAACATCTGGTACTTGACGCTAACTGCACCCAGAAAAGCTGCAGGCCCGAACTATTTGGCCATTTACAATATGTTTATAATAGCAAAAATAACATGGAAATAGAAAAGCAAAATTCATCAGATTATTTGTCTTTGAGTCAAGCAATGACAGAGAAGGGAGAGCACAGAGGTCAATTTGGTAGAGTGATCTAGGCCCAGTTGTAATACTAACTCTTCTAATAAACCTTTAAGGGTCCGTCTGCATGGCAGCATTATTTTGGAATAATGCGAGCGCCTACACAGCAATTCTGTTATTTCAAAATAAATTCAAAATAATGGGTGGCATATTATGACTTCTGAAATCTCATTTCATGAGGAATAATGCCTATTCTGAAATAGCTATTTTGGAACAGTGGTAGTGTGGACACTGCACTGTTGCTATTTCAAAATAGTTCTCCCCAGGGCTATTAAAAGTAATTACTCCCCAGTACCTCCTCAGGCTCTAAATCGAGGTAGCATGTCCACATTAGGGAAGCCTGCCTCGAATTAATGTTGAGGCTTCCCTGTAGCATAAACTTGCTATTTCAAAATCAGCTATTTCGGTGTCTTTCTTTTGGAAAACTTATTTCAAAATAAATGTGCAGTGTAGACATATCCTAAGATATTTCAGAAGTGCAAAGACCAAGGACTAGTTTTAAATAGTCCAGTGAACAATGGGATGAAATTTAACAAAGGTAGATTTATCTAAATATCAGGAATTCTTTCCATATAGTAAAGACTATTAATTGAGGAATCATCTGCAAGGAAGTGGTAGGAATCCCATTTCTTGGGACACTTAAAAATTAGATGAGAACATAGCACAGGGAATGATCCTATCTCTTCCTCAGAGGATGGACTGGCAGATCTAGTTAGGACTTTTACACCACTTGCTTCTCTGACAGATATATCCTTATTTCTGGAGGATGTAGAGGAATCGGATAGGGAGCTGTGGGCTTTTTCAGATGAAATAGTAAGTTATATTTTGAACACATCGTGTAGAGAAACAGGCTGTGAATTAGGAGTCTGCATTCTGCTTGTTCAAATAAAGTGCACTGCATTCAGTCCCAAAGAACTTAGTCTTTTAGATGAGGTAGCCAAATAGTTCATTTATATAGAAAGAGCTTCTAACTTGCTGGGCTTCTTTAGTCAAGTATTTGGGCCTGTTTGTATCTTGATATATTTAACCCTTACAACAGTGAAGGCAACATAATGAAACCTGTTTATAGCCACCATTAGGATTTCCATTTTTCCTGTCAGTTATCACGGTTTTATTTACTTCCTTCCTGAAATAATCACATAGTTCGCTAGAGACTTCAGTGACAATTTGAAGAACAGTCATCCACAAGCCTTCACCCAGGGAGCTGCTGAGAGAGAACAACTATATATAGGACTTTTAAAATCTTTGCTGTAATTATTCCAGGAACTCTTCTTAATCCAGACTTTAGGTGCCCAATAGCCTCCAAATTCTATGTGGGCCACTCCCCATAATAAGAAGATGTAACTAACAGAGAGCACCAGAAAGATATGACTGTGAACTGGTTACAGTGCCTGAGGAAGATCAGACAGAGGAATCTCTAACCTCTGGCTGTGGAGTTCATCAGAGGCATTGGAACTCATATGGTTCAGTTATAAACCTGTGGAGAGTTAGGAAGAGAAGTTACTCAATAAACCCATGCCCCAGGTACACCACAGAGGGTGTGCTCAGCTAAGAGAGGGTTGAGGACATATTAGGCAATGCCATCACCATTGCTCTTCAAGGAAAAGGGATATAGAAGCAGTGGTAGTTACTGGAGCCTCATGGCCAAAGGATTCTTTCTTCTGACTCATCTCCACAGAGGACTCCAGTGTGCTGTCCAACTGTGCTCTCTTCTCCAAGATGTCACCCTAAGAGGGTGAAATAACTTGCTTAGAGTACCACAGGAAAAGGATTCCCTGTAATGGATTTAAAATAAGCAGCATAGGAGCAATATGCACTATACAAATCCAAGTCCCAAGATGGGTGATTGAAGCTGTGACATTTTAATTTTTGACAAAGTATGATATCCCAGAGCTTTTCCAGGACTTTATACTATTGGGAGGGGGATTCTTAGGGTACATCTACACAGCACACTTATTTAAAAATAAATTATTCCAGAAGAAATACTCTGAAATAGCTTATTTTGAAATAGCACATCTACACTACAGGGAAGCCTCAAAATTAGTCCAAGGGAGACTTCCCTAATGTGGATGTGCTACCTTGAATTAGAGCCTCAGGTGGCACTGGTGAGTAATTATATTGAATGGCCCTGGGGAGGGGCTATTTCAAAATAGCAGCAATGGAGCATCCATACCACTGCATTATTCCTTATGGAATGAGCTTTACAGATTTAAAAATAACAGAATATCTGTGTAGATACTCACATTGTTATTCTGAAATAACTGTGCTGTTTAGATGCACCCTTAGTGTTCCATTAGAACCTGTAGCACTCATTTTCACCCCTGGAAGGACCTGCATTTTGGGCTATTTAAAGCACTAACGTTTTTAGTTGTAGACAAGCTTTTTAGGTTACTTTTGGAGGGTGTGATGGCTCCCCAGAGCTCTGCACAGCTGGAGACAGGTAACAAAGACACTTGAATTTACAAATAGAGATACAACAAATGAATTTAAAACAACTTTTAAAACCTCTTTACAAAATTCATCAAGTAGTTTCTGTGCTATTCATGAATAAGAGCATGCTGTGCATATCTTTTCTGACCCCACTTTGCTTACTTCTCTTGTATAAAATGATACTGACATAAGAGTTTGATCTTTGATAAGCCATTTTCTTTCTCTGGGCCTCAGTTTCATTTCTTCATCAGTATTGTCCCCATTTTACAGGTAATCTTTTGCAAAATGTTTTGAGATCTTCTCATGAACAGCAGTATTTACATCAAATTCTTAGGCGGCTAAGCCAAGTGGAAAAACTTGCTTTAAGTTCTACATTTTCTCAAACTTGCAAATGTTTTTTTTCTTCATATTTTGCATATGTAGTCAAAAGCAACACTTAACGGGAGGTTAATTTATGTTTGGCTTCTGTAGTATTCTTAACTAGGTGCATGAGGATCAAGGGGCCATGGAATTCTCGGTGAACCATCAGAAGGGAACCACACGCTTTTCCATAAGCAGTCTTTTCCTGTGACTCCGTGGATGAGCTGTCATTTTATCTGAATCCCTTGGCTTGCATTATGCTCCTGTGTGCACTAAAGCTAATGGGAAATATATATTATGGCTCAACTCATAGCACATAAAGGTCACTTTTATTTTTATTGCAGTCATAGATGGAAGCTCTGAGCAGGCACCCATTGTGGTTGGCCCTGTTACGTTTTCTCGTTATGTATTTGTGATGGACCAGGCTGGGTCTGAGCACAGCTGAGGGCGTCCGTTCAGGGCGAATTGCTCAAAAACCAGGGCTCCTTACAGCCCCAGACTGGAGACAGTTCCCAAACAGGTCATAAACCAGTCACGCAGAGCGCTTCAGCTGCCAGTCCAACCAATAGGAAGGCTCACGAGCAAAACCCCTCTGACAGTCCAGCTCTCCCTGTGCCACAATCAGCCTCGGGCCTGCACACAGGTGAGGGGTTATAAAACCCAATCTCACCCACCCCGAACAGGTTCTTCCTGTCCCAAGAATCCAGTCACAGTTCCCAGTCAATTTACACTTTGGATCTTACCCACAAGAGCACGCTGGGCCAATCTTTTAGAATCTAAAATCTAAAGGTTTATTAATAAAAGAAAGAAAAGCATGAGAGTAAGGTTGTTAAGAATACATTACATGCATCAAATCACCAAGTTCTTGGTGCAGGCTCTTAGCAGAGATGTTATAACTGCTATCTTAAGTCTCTGGTGTACATCCTATGTCAGGATGGGCCAACGATTCTTCCTGGTTTGCTGTTCCTCGCGAGGCTGCATCTGGAATCAGTAGCAGAATTGAAGGCAAGATGGAGTCCGCCTCGTGGCATTTTATATCCATCCCTGGTATCTTCCAAGCTAGAGGTGGTAACATGGCCCAGTGACCTATCCCTGTGTCCCAAGTCAGCAGTCATCAGATACTGACTGGTTTGCAGGTCCCAGACATTTCTCAGGTGTGTATTGGCCTCTGAGAGCCTTGTCCCTGTAGCCTTGCTAATTAGCATAGTCACTGACTGAACATTCCTGGCCCATTGCTGTCTCAGACAGAGAATCTTCCAGCATCACAGAGTACATATTTATAACTCCACATACAGATATCACACAAGTACATGAATAGTATAGATAGAATCAGTAGAACATAAGCTTTCATTTGACACTTCATCTGGCCCCCTTTGTACAGACTTTGAGGCATCCCCCCAATGGGTGCAACAGTGACCTGTCTGATCCCCTTAAAATCCAGTAATGTTACAGTATTCCCTTCCTTATTCTGGAGAAGATAGCATATTCTCACAACTCCCGGAGTCCTTTCTGCCAGGGGTAACGGAAGGATTCCCCACCCATCACAAGATCATTCCGAGGGATTTTCCTGAAACAAATCGATCCACCAGCACCTGCCCAAGAACCCCAGGCATCCAATTAGCACTGTTTTGGGAAGGATGTACTTCAGCCATTTTGGATCATATTAGTCGTCTCTCTGTCTAAGTGCCACATCTAGTGCCAGAGAGATTTGGTGTCATTGCATGAGAGAGGGAAGTGGGTGTTTTAGCTGATGAAGGGGCTTTGGAAAAGCAGTGGTGGGTTACAGGCTTGGGAGAGGTGGGGCCAAGGAATTCAGAATATGGGAGGAGGCTGCGGGTTGAGGCAGTGGGTTGGAGTGTGGGAGGGATGCAGGCTCTGGAATATAGAAGGGAGCTCCAAGTTTGGGAAGCTCAGGGCATGGGGTTGGGATGCAGGGGAGATTAGGGCTCTGGGGTGGGGTGCAGGCTCCGAACTAGGGTTGGGAATGGGCAGTTTGGGGTGCAGGGCTCAGGCTTACCTTGGATAGCTCCCAGCCTGCCAGTCTTGGTTCCATGCTGCACCCCAGAAGCAGCCAGGAGGTCCAACTCCTAAGCAAGGGGGAGAACAGGAGACTCTGTGGCATGTACACCTCTCACCCACAAGCACACACCCCAGCTCTCATTGGCTGGAACCAGGCAATGGGAGTGAAGAATCAGGCTATGTCTAGACTGCAGGCTTCTTTCAGAAGAAGCTTTTCCAGAAGAGATCTTCCAAAAAAACTTCAGAAAGAGAGCATCTACACTGCCAAAGCACATTGGAAAAGCTATCTGCTTTTTTCAGAGAGAGCGTCCACACTGAATGAACACTATCTTGCATGTAAACTGTCATTAGTATGGATGGAATGGCCACCAGGGCACCTGTGCTTTTTCCTCTTCTTGTGAAGGAACTTCCTCTTCTCCGTCCACATATGCCTTTTTCCGGAAGAGCTCTTTTGGAAGAAGGCTTCTTCCCCATAGAAAGAGGTTTATCAGTGTTGGAAAAATCTCTGTTCTTTCGATTTTTCCCCCCCAAAAGAGCACAATTGCAGTGTGGATGTAAGTGAAGTGTTTTTGGAAAAATGGCCATTTTTCCAAAAAAACTCTGCAGTGTAGACATACCCTCAGTGCTGGCTGGTTATGGGGCAGAGCGCAGTGCCCAGAATAAGTAGAATAGTGATAGAAATGTAGCCATGTTAGTCTGGGGTAGTTGAAGCAAAATGCAGGACAATGTAGCACTTTAAAGACTAACAAGATGGTTTATTAGATGATGAGCTTTCGTGGGCCAGACCCACTTCCTCAGATCAAATAGTGGAAGAAAGTAGTCACAACCATATATACCAAAGGATACAATTAAAAAAAAGAACAAATATGAAAAGGACAAATCACATTGCAGAACAGAAGGAGGAGGCGGGGGGGTGGGAAGGGGGAGGAAGGAAGGTAAGTGTCTGTGAATTGATGATATTAGAGGTAGGGAGAGTGGGATGTTTGTGAGTTAATGGTATTACAGGTGATAATTGGGGAAACTGTCTTGATAATGGGTGAGAAAGTTCAAAGACTTGTTAAGTCCCTGGTGGTAAGTGTCGAATTTTAACATGAATGACAGTTCAGAGGATTCCCTTTCAAGTGCAGATGTAAAAGGTCTTTGTAGCAGAATGCAGGTGGCTAAGTCATTTAGAGAGTGTCCTTTCTGGTTAAAGTGGCAAGAAACTGTTTTCTCTTTGTGATCTTGTCTGATATCTGTTTTGTGGGCATTAATCCTTTGGCGAAGTGTCTGAGATGTTTGTCCAATGTACATAGCAGACGGACACTTTCGGCACATGATAGCGTAGATTATATTTCTGGATGCGCAGGAATATGTGTTCTTGATCTTATAACTCACTTGGTTAGGTCCAATAATGGTATCAGCAGAATGAATATGTGGACAAAGCTGGCAACGGGGTTTGTTGCAAGGGAAGGTACCAGGGTTGGTATTAGTGTGGTATGTCCTGTGGTGGTTGGTAAGAATCATCTTGAGGTTAGGTGGTTGTCTATAGGAGACTATGGGTCTGTCTCCCAGAGCCTCTTTGAGTATGGTATCCTGTTCCAATATAGGCTGTAGTTTATTGATAATGTGTTGGACAGGTTTAAGTTGGGGGTTGTAGGTGATGACAAGTGGTGTTCTATTGTTGGTTTTCTTGGGTCTGTCTTGAAGTAGATGGTTTCTAGGTATTCGTCTGGCTCTTTCAATTTGCTTTTCTGTTCTGCAATGTGATTTGTCCTTTTCATATTTGTTCATTTTTTTTAATTGTATCCTTTGGTATATATTTTTTTCCACTATTTGATCTGAGGAAGTGGGTCTGGCCCACGAAAGCTCATCATCTAATAAACCATCTTGTTAGTCTTTAAAGTGCTACATTGTCCTGCATTTTGCTTCAGAATAAGTAGGGACTAGTCTCCTTTGGCTCCACAGCCCAGACAACCAGATGTTTAATGGCCCAGTCTGCGGTGCTGACCAGAGCCACCAGGATCCTTTTTTGACTAGATGTTCCTATTGAAAACTGGACATCTTGTCCGTCTATTAACCACATCAGTTCCAAAGAGAATTAAATGCTGTAGAACAGGAGTGGGAAACCTTTTTTTTTGGGTCGGGGGCCACACACAAGTGAGAATCAAAAAAAAAAAATCAAACCCTCATTGATGTGGCCCCTGACTGAAAAGGATAACACTCCCCACATTCCCCTTGCACACCAGAGCCTGGGGGCCCCACGCTGGTAGATTTTGTGTGCTCCAGCCCCATGGTAGAGTAGCAGGGCTTCCCCATGCTGGAGGGGGTCCTAAGCCTTGGATTGGATCCAGGCAAGCCGGGAGCCGTATCCAGCCCCCGAGCCTGAGGTCTCACACCCCTGATATAGAGCCTGCAGAGTTCTCTTCTGTGCAGAAGTTCCAGGGAGTATTAGGCAGGACACTTCCCTACCAAGCTTAGCCTACAAGTTAGCTTCCCTCTTTTTTATTCTTGAGAGACTCTTGCTGATCTTTTCTTTAGAGAGGGAGAGATCTGTGACAGTGTGAGTAGCCTAAGGCCCACTTATTACTATGTGTACTTTGCAAAAGTTCCACCTGAGCCTAATTGAGGTGATAATTAACCAGTTTGCATAGTGATTCAGTTTGTTCAGCTGAGGACAGTTAAAAGAGAGACCAGAAGAGGAAGCAGGGGAAGGTTAGAAGCAAAGGTTAGAGAAGTCTAGGATCTCAGAGAAATGAGATCTCATCCCTTGTGTTTAGATAGAAGCTAGAGGCCTGATGGGGAAGAACTTGTGTAGCATGTTGTAAGTGATGCATACAGTGATGAACTTGTGCAAGAGTGGGTGAGAGCCGTTTGCAATAACGGATCCTGTCTGATGTGATCCAGGCAGCTTTCAAATAATCAGTAATGCAGAAAGAGGAAAGAGACCTAACAGGTGATAGGGTGTAAGGGATTGTATATGATATGTCCATGCAATAAAGTAATGCAAATGCCCATGAGACTTGGATCTGCATATGAAAAGTTATGTCAGAAGGGTGACTGTAGATGCTTTCTTTAGCACTTTGGCAATTGTGGTATCTGCTATATAATACTATAGTCAGCTGTGAACAACTCAGTGTTAGCAAGATGATGACAAACGGTAGGACCTAGGAGGAGGAAACAAAACTGAATGGGTCTGGAATGACTGACTTTTAAGAGAAGCTCAAAAGAACTAAATTGTTTGCTTACCCCTAGCTGATAAGTAGGGGTTGGCAGAAGGGAGAGGATGAGTTGAGGAGTAGTGAGACAGTGATGAAATTAAGTAAAGCTGAATTTCTAATGAATATTAGAGAACAGCTCTTCACAGTAGGATGCTAATGTTTATGGACTAGTTTCCCTTAAGTGATCTTTTAAAGCTGGACATGACAAAGCCCTACTGGTATTCTGTAGTGGCTTATCCTGTGTTGTTTCCTGGCTGGGGGTGAAGTGGGGGGGGGGGGGGGGGGGGGATTTCTTTGAATCTATGAGTATAAGGACACACACACACACCTGAGGCAGGTCACTGTTAAACAGGCCAGAATAATCTACTGAAGTCAGTCTAGTAATATAAAGGAAAAATCTAGCCCAGTAAATCAACTGTGCAACTCTAATATTAGAAATATTTAGCATTGCATGGGTCTTTGTATATGATAATCTGTAAACAACTCTGTCAGATAGGCAGACTGACACCCAGGGGAGAAGTGATTTGTCTCAGATTGTAGGTAGTATATTAGTGTCAGTGCCTGGGAAAGAATCCAAGTTTCTGGACTTCTGGTCTGGGATGCTGTATCTTAAACTGTTCTGCTTTCCTGTGTAATTTCATTTGGTCTCTGGTTTCTATTACTGCAGCATGTGAGTGCCTCGTAATACACTTATCCTTAGGATACCCCTGAGAGGATTTACTATCTCTGATTTAGAGGGAATTAATGTTGCCAGATACTTTCACAAAAAATCCCAAACATGGCGGGGAAAAAAAAATAGGTTGAGAAAAAAAAAGTTGCTGTGCTTTTAAATCCCCGCGCTCCCCATCCCCACCAGATGCAGCAGGGTATTTTCTGGGTTTTTTTTTTTTTTACTGGACAGGTGGCCACAAATACCGGATTGTCTGGACGAAAACTGGACACCTGGCAACCCTAGAGGGAATTGAGGCACAGAGATGCTGAGTAATTTGCCAGAATCCCAGAGGGAACTGACATGGGTTTCCCGAATCATAGGCTGATGCCCTAATCACTGGACTTGTACTTTCTTGCATCTTCTTCCTTGGATGTTTTCGTCTGCAAAATTCTACCTGCTGCCCCAGTTGCAGGAAAGCATCCAACAATTGCATGTTTGCATCAAATAGTTTATAATCTTTGTTTTGGAAAACAGACAAATTTTTCTGCCTTAGTAATTACCCGGTGTCAATCTTCCTGCCGAATAGAGGTTTTGGTAGAAATGAAACCTGAGGCTTGGCCTACAAAATCACCTGCCTTCCAGATAGGTGTTTTACAGAAATCAGGCAATAATGAGAAATCATTGCCATTCTGAAATGTGTGCACAGCAGGTTTTTTGCACACTTATTCCATTAAATAAATACTAATGTTTTGCAGTGCTCTGTACTTCCTGGGCCCACTGCTAACGTATATTGTATAATTACAAATTACGTGCGATCTCACTGAAATGCAGCCACCTTGGGAGTGGAATGCAGCAGTTGTTGAGCAATGAGCACCAAAACCAGAGCAATTCAGGGGTGCTGAAACAATTTGTATAGTGGAGGTGCTGAGCGCCATTAAGCTATATTATAAACCCTGTCCATAATGGAAACCTCTTCAAGCCAGAGGCTGCAGCCAGCACTCTTAGTTGCAGTACCTACAGAGTAGTTTATGAACAGGAAGCAAAGAGGTCTCTGTCCAACCATAGCAATATGTCTACTTGGGCTTATGAGATCTAGTGTGGAATATGCATTGATAAGACTTATTTAAAGAAATCGATTTATGAAAGAGGTTATAAAAATACAAAATATAGCTTTATAACAACTCCAGTGGAGCACTGCCTCCAAGCACCATATTGG